AAATAAAAGTTGACCCCGCACTTTATAGGGCCTTACGGGTACTATAGAGGGTTGGACTAGTAGCTTACCAATTAACTTTACCACCAGAGTTAAAGCGCGTCCATAATGTGTTCCATGTATCCATGCTCAAGAGATACCATTCAGATCCATCTCACGGTATACACTTAGAATAGATTGGGGTTAGCCCAGATATGACCTATAAGGAGGAACCAATCAAAATCGTAGCAAGGGATGTAAAGGAGCTAAGAAACAACATTCCTTTATTGAAGGTGTTGTGGAGGAACCATGTCGTGGAGGAAGTAACTTAGGAAACCGATGAGGACATGCAGCTTCAGTATCCTCACCTCTTCTATCTAGGTAAATTTTGAGGATGAAATTTTTTTTCTATTAGGGGAGAATTGTAACATCTTAAATCTTGGATTAGGAGTTTTGAGATAACCCGATTGGACCTTAAGAGTAATCTTGAAGACCCATTTAAGGTTTTGGGTTAGTTTGGGCTTCCCATAAGTTAGACTTGAGCCCATCTAGACTAGTAACGAGTATTTTTAGAAGTTGATCAAAATGGAGTGATCAACCCCCAAAAGTTCACCTAAAGGTTGATCACATTTTTGGGATTCCTATAGCATGTATGGGGACTTTGTCTTCTTGTAGTCTTCTTATTATTATTTCAAAATCCTTCCACCTTCCTTTTCTATGCTCTTCAAAGGTGAAAACTTGTAAAATCTTAGTCACATTTCAGAAGATCTAAGGTAAGAACCTTAACCTCCCTATTCCAAGCTTCATTTCAAGCTCTTAATCTCTTTTTTCCATCAAGGTAGCAAAAAGTGGGTTTTGTAGGGTTTATGGAACTTGATTGTTCAATATATTTTTCATGAAGTTTAAGCCGTAGGAAGTGTTCTTAAACCCTCCTTAACCTTTAAATCAAGTTACTAACGCTTATGGTTAATCATTGTTTACTGAGAGAAGTATGAGAAAGCTCCAAGAGCAAGGACAAGGAAAAACTTGTGTTAGGGTAACTTGGAGGTGCTCCCAACATCTTAAAAATCCAAAGTTACACACTTGTAACTCAACTCTACAACATATAGATAGGGGTGTGCAAATATGGGTACCCGGATTTTTGGGTACACGCAACATCTGGGTCGATGATTTCTCGGCCCGTGTCCCGACCCGGATGTTGCCGGATACCTAGATTTTAAGGTTTCCAGTAATCGGGTACCCGGTACCCAGTTTTTTTTTCATTTTCAAATTATTAATTTTAAAAAAATATAGACAAATTTAAATGTTCGAAACTTTGAATTACATACTCCAACATCCGAACATAAAATTTAAAAGTTTGAAATACAAAATCTAATAATTCATAATATAAATAATTATTTATATTATATATATACAAAATAAAAATAAAAACTAAGGAAAATATCAATTTTGTGACCCGGGCCCAGCCCGAGTACCCGACTGGATCGGGTAATTTTATTTAGAAAATTACCCGATTTTTTTAAGTTCGGGTCGGCGGGTTAACGGGTTGGGTCAACCGAGTCGGGTATTTTTTTTTACACCCCTACATATAGATAATTAGATAAGTTTTGGGTAGGTTGCATGAGTTATTAACTATGTTCATGGTAGATTCAACATGTTTACAACCTTATTATGACCCCTATAATTAGACACAACACTTTAATAACAATTAGAAACCTCAGTAGGATCTTTAAAGAGGAGATCTAGAATTTTTTCTGCTTAAAACAGGGTATTTTTTGGCACGAGTACCAATATTAAAAGAATAATAAGGTATATTATTCTTCAGATGCTAAAAATAAAGGGATTCAGGGGACAGGAGTATCAATAGTCTTACAATGGGTATTGATATTATAGGTTGGTATCGATACTTGCAGGGTGGTATCGATACCGAGTTTAGTTAATAGATTCTGATATATAATTTTGATTCCGATACTCATGAGAGTATCGATACAATAAGGGTATCAGTACTGAGGTATTTTCTCAATACATTGAACCTAATTTTGGTATCGATACTCAAAACATTATCGATACCCTAGCACTAGAGTATCGATACTCAGTCAAGAGTATTGATATTTCCCTTTACTATCAGCATATAATAGTCAGTAAGTATAATACCAAGAGGTGAATATCGATATTCATGGTTCAATATCGATAATAAAAGACCAATATCAGCACTAGCGGACAGTTTGGATAATGAGCCCAATAACACCAGATATTAGTAAATAAAACTACAAGTGAGAACAGTAATAAACTTAGAAAAGTTAGAAACAGTAACAATTATGATACCATAAAACTAGGCTTGTTTTTCGCTCTGGAAATAGTCAGGATACTCAAGTCCCTTTAGCATAATACAACAGTCATTTAGATATCCCAGTTAGTGCCAAGGCACTTCAATAGCTGACTTAGAACAGATGCCCCAAGACTTAACGGAGTAAGTTGGTCGGGTGCACATTTTCGATACAATTCCAGATCTCACCCTAAATACCCAAGGATGTCTCAAAAAGGCTAGAGGGGTGTGTGAGCTTCGAGATACAGAACCCTCAATTGCACCATGATACAAAACCCTCAATCGCACCATGATACCTATTTTAGCAGTACATATCAGTATTTTATATGTATTCATACCTATGCCACTAGCCAGCTTATCAAGTGAATGCATGTAGTAGAGCATAGTTATTAGTGTGACACTAAGCTCATAAGCTCGGCGTTCTGAATGTGTTTTTGTGTGAAAGTTCCTAGGTGAACAGTAACAGAGCATTATTTTCGAGAGCAGTTCTAGATCAACCGAGGCATTTAAAGTACATCTTGAGTTATTCTTAGAGGGAATATACTATTTATGGACCTTTATGTATTCAGTCGTAACTCGATTTGATTTAAATTCAATATTGTATTATTTTGGATATTTTGGGAGCTCCCTCGTACTTGTATACTTTATTACAATGTTATAATTTATTTTGCTAGGGATGGTTTTCATCAGAGGGGTTTTAAATCAGTTTTAAAGAAAAATTTCGTGTTAGCTACTTCGATGGTATCTTGTGACATGATAATCCATCGGTCTTCGGGTCATAATAGATTAGAGTGTTACACTAAGACTCTAGTCATAGAGGTTTCAAATGATATAATTTTTTTGATATTGATGGATTCAGGTTGATTAAGGCTTTGAAAGATGAACTAAAGCAACATGAAGAAGAAACAAGGACTGATGGCTTTGAGTATAAGCATGATCTTCACAAGAATTTATCTTAGAACCTTGTCTTTTTCATGAGTTTAAGAGTTTGGGGTTTTAAAGAGTTGTTTGAGAAGATTGAAGTTGATAAAATTATTGTTATTGGTTTAAAAACATATGAGATTTATGTTTTGGGATTAAGATATAAAGCCCATGCAAAGATTAACCAATGTCTTTTTGGTGTCAAACATTTGTTTCATGAATTAATAGAACAAAAAAAGAAGGATCTTGCAAAAATTGATTCCATCGAATACGATGACAACAATGTTGATACAAAACATAGGATAAAAGTTATCCAAATTCCTAGTAGAGTTATTGGAAATGTGGCATCTTGTGCCAGGATGACTATATATCTCATATTAGGTTTTATTAGGAAATAGAAGGTGATGCAGCTAGTTATAAAGTGGAAAATGTTTGATCTTAGAGGACAAGGATCATCTGAAGGAAGGGAGAATGTCATATGAGGAGAGAAAGCTAACACTAAAGGCAACAAAGATCAAGTAGAAGTCAAAAAGCATGTTGATATTAGATTTCCTAGTACAATTCTAACTAGTTGCACATGTAATGGTTGTAGCTCGGAAGTGGCTACTAATAACATGAAAAGGTTATTAGAATTTAAAATAATAGTGTTGATTGCTACAACCGTGAGTAAGGAAAATGGTAGATAGTCTACTGTTCAATCAGTAAGAAAATGCTAGACACTAGAAACAACATGAATCAAGTACTAAAACAATAAGTTTAGACGACTCAAGGAAGGATGAATTTTTATGCGGATACAAAATTGAAAGACATAGATCTGAAGGTAGGGGACAAAATTTACCTGAAGTTCTAGTCTTACCATCAAACCTCACTTGCTCTTTAAAAGAGATTAAAGCTTGCATCAAGGTTCTATGGTCCCTACACCATTTTACAATGCATAGGGTTAGTAGCATATAAATTACTACCTTATTCCTTGAGAGTTCAACCAATAAATCATACCATCTCGTTGAAGAAAAGAATTGGAGATCAAAGCGTTACCTCATTGAATTATTCCAAATTTGGGCATGAAGGACAGTTGAAGGTCCACCCAGTTATGGTGCTTGACAAATGTAGGTGGAGAAGCTTAATCAGGTGCAGTGGACAAACTTAGGGCCGAAAAACATCACTAAGGAAAACTATATTATGCTTAAAGCATAATTCACAGGTTTTAATCCTTGGGGAAAAGGTTCCTTTTATGGAGGGGGTATTATCACGAGCAGTAGAGATATAGAAACAGTCAAAGAAGACAAGGGAGAATTGGGAAAATTAGAAGTAGAGTTAAGGATTGTAATTAAGAAATTTGGGATGCAAAAGAAAAAGGGACATGTGGAAAAGAGGCACGTGAGGAGAGAATTAATGAAGAGCTAAGTCACTTACTTGATGGACCGAATGAGCAGCTTGGGGGTCTAGCCCAATCAGGGGAAAAAGTCACACCAACAACAACTACAATGGGATCATTTCGATAGATATAAATGTACTGCCAGCTGGCAAATTAGTTAGAATGGTACAATGTAATCAAATAAAATGGGTATCGAACCAAGTGAGGAATTATGAAAATATTGAATGAAGTTATCTTTTCTTAAACTTTTATTCCTTCTCTAAATCTTCTCTTTTCTCAATCTCTATTTCTAAATTATTTCGAGGTGTTAAAAATTATTTTAAGGTGTCAAATTAAAAAATATATTTTTGACGTTTTAAATTTATAAAGATTTTTTTCTCAAAAAAATTTGGGGTGTCATACAAGGTTGGCTCCGCCAGTCATGGACCAAAGCTTGTGCCATATTGTGGAGGCTAATTTCATCACCATTGTCAATCAAGGAGCTCTGTGGAATGATTGGAAAAATCATATATTGTTTTTTTTTTATTATTGTTAAGCAAAATAGTGAGATATCCGAGGTTATAATCGTAGTCATTTCAGCATTGTGTTGCTCGGAATCGATGGGCTGGTGATATATATTTGAAGATCGGAAAGGAAGGAAAAGTGAAGAAAAGCTTAAATTTTTGTTCTTAATCGTGGTGTCTCCTCCAGGGCTACCGCTAGCGTGTGTATTTTCAAGTCGAGAGTTCCTTTAGATTACAAATTAGCGGCGACAAATTCATGTTTTAACAACATGCCATTGGTTCCGACACCGGGACCGATTTGCCATACTTGGTTAATCTGCTCGCCCGATGCTAAATATGCGAGGATTTTGATTTTTGCAAAAATAACTAAGCTCTCGTCACTTCTGCTCTCTGTCGTCTTATCCCAAACCTCGAATGAAAAGTTTTGGTACGATAAGAGCTGATGTCGAAGGTTCGGATGATGATGAGACTGGTGATGGAATTTTTGTAGGCAATGAGAGCTTGGGAACCGGCCATACCGATGGCCTTGTGGTTTATGGTCGATCAACCCAATCTTCGGGTTTTGAGGGGCGGCGATGAAGGCAACGCAGAGAGTGGTATTGGAAGGTCGTAAGAGAAGCGAAGGTAAGAGAAAAGAGATGGGAGGTCGAGGCAGGTGGAGAAAATTTGGTTTTTATTGAAATTTTGGCCGGAGTATGGAAACCACCGACGAAATCAACAGTGCGCAGAAGGTGGAGCAAAGAAAAATTGTCGTCGTCTCCAACGGAGCCATTTCAAAACAGAAGATGCAATTAGACTGGCAATTAAACAAGAAATATGAACTTCAATTACTCTAGAAGTAATCTTAATATAGTCGACAAAAATGAGTTATCAGGCTGTGGTACAAATCTTTTGCCGACGGTCTTCCCTAACAAAACATGCAATAAACCAATGGCATCAACGGATCAACCCACCACGAAATGTACGATGAATTTAACGGTCCACTGTCCAAGTTTTTAATGATCATTTTATTATAAATCAATAACTCTAATAATTAATTCATAACTTTTAAAAGTTTAATTGGTAAAACAAAAAATTATTCAAACTTTAGTGAACATATGTAGTGTACCCTATTTAAAATGTGGGTGAGAACATGCAATTTTATACGTTCAGGGAAATATTACTTGAAAGTAATCACGTTAACAAACCATAGGTTTTTTCAAGGATCGATAATGAAGATCATAATAAAAGCAGGTTTTCCGATATGTGATTACCATGGGAAGTTTTGTTGTGCGGCTGTTAAAAAACGACTAAAAAACGGCGTGATCGGTTAAAATTTTAACCGGTAATGTTATATCATTTAACCGGAAATATTATCAAGTATAATAACATATTAGGTAGCGCTTATATAATGTAATAGTAAGCGATTATATAATAAAATAGGCATTTAACTGGAAATATTATCAAGTACAATAACATATTAGGTAGCTCTTATATAATGTAATAGGTTGCGCTTATATTGACCTATTTTCGAAGTAAACCAGTATATTTATACCGGTAACATTGCAAATTTACCTATTACATTATTATTATCGGTTACGATGTTTTTTAGATCGATACAATTTTAAATATATCAACACTTTATGCTTGCACCTGGTTGGGCATTCATATTTCATTCTAGAAAAAGTATCGACACAAACTAACAACGTGTCGATACATTATTTAGACCTATTCTCTCATAAAACCGGTATATTTATACCGGTTACATTGAAAATTTACCTATTACATTATACTTATGGGTTTCGATGTTTCCGGGATCGATACTTTTTATAAATGTATCGACACTTTATGGTTGCACCCTTTTTTGTATTCATTCTAGACCAAAAGTATCGACACAAATTTATCAAGTGTCGATACTTTATGCTGACATATTTTATCATAAAACTGGTGTATTTATATCGGTTACATTGTAAATTTACCTAATACATTATAATTATCGGTTTCGATGTTTTTGGGATCGATACTTTTAATAAATGTATCTACACTTTATACATGCACCTCGTTTGTGCATTCATCATGGACAATAAGTATCGATACAAATTACACAAGTGTCGATACATTATGTTGACATGTTTTCTAATTAACTGGTATATTTATACCGGTTACATTGTTAATTTACCTATTACATTATAATTATTGGTTTTGATGTTTTTTTGGGTTGATACTTGTATAAAATGTATCGACACATATTTAGGCAGTTATTGTACATACCTAAATATGTACTGCGAATTTAATGTTGTACCCACCCTTTAACTACCACTACCAATACCACATCCTATTGAAAGCAGCACGACTGAAACATGTTCAATGAACCTTTGCTTACATCTCCATCAACTCCGGGACCACTGAACTTGCACAACAAAATTTTTGCCATGGATCATACTGATGCAGACAATGTTAACCCAATCGAGGAATGCCATGAAGTACATAATGTTGATGAATCTGACAGATTGGTTGGTCAACTCTTCTGTTCACGTGATCAATCTTGGTACTTTTACAAGGGATTCACACGGGAACATGGGTTTAGTGCACGTAAGGGAACAACACGGCTTGACGTGGAAGGAAATGTGAAGACACAAGAATTTTGTTGTTCCAAAGAAGGGTTTCGAACATCAAAAGTCATTATTGTTAATCATCAACATGCTCATACGCCAGTCACAACAGCAGGATGTAAGGCTAGAGTTGTAGTTACAGCAACAAATACAAACGATCAGTGGGTTATAAGTAAGTCTTATCAGGAACATAATCATGCATTGTGCACACTTGCTATGACACCATTTATGCGTTCTAATAGAGTTGTAAGTAAGGCTGATATCGATGAGGCAACAACATTGAAAGAGGTCGGTGTTGGCACGTCACAAGTAATAAACTATTTAACGTAGTAGGCAGGGGGCTATCATAATGTTGGATTTACACATAAAGACCTCTACAATGCACTTCAAAGAGGTAAAGCAAAGGAAATCGTCGATGGGGATGTGAATGCGCTTATTGCCTACTTTGATTATAAGAAACATGATGATCCTGGTTTTTTATGGCATACTCGGTAGACGAGTCAGGGGCATTGTATAATCTTATTTGGTCGGATTCTACATCGAGATCGTATTACACATGCTTCGGTGATGTAATTGTGTTCGACACAACGTACAAAGATAATTTGTATGGTCGACCAATTATGCCTATTGTCGATGTCAATCATCACCATAACACAATTGTGTTTGCCACTGCCATAATCGCTGATGAGACGTCTCAATCTTTCGAGTGGGTGCTACAGAATTTTTTAGAAGCCATGATGAATAAATCACCTATTTCAGTTGTTACCGATGGGGATAGGGCAATGCAGAGGGCTATCAAATCTGTTATCCCTTATGCTAAGCACAGATTATGTTCTTGGCATCTTTCTCGCAATGCACAAGCTAACATTGGTGACCCAAAATTTACAGCAACATTCTCAAAATGCATGGCTTCCTGGTGGACAACCAAGGAATTTGATATTCAATGGCGTTCGGTTGTTTCAGAATTCAACGTCGAAAAGCATCCATAGGTGATTGAGAAGGGAAATACATGGCACTTATGGGCACAAGCATATCTAACAGGTTATTTCTTTGCCAATATTCGCTCAACACAAAGGTACGAGTCTATGAATGCTTCACTAGCGATTGCACTGAAACACAAGAAGACATATTTAGATATTGTTTGTGCAATTGAAGATGGAATTAGTAGAATGCGTATGAACAAGTTGAAAGCGGATTACTTAAGTTCACATACGAAGCCCTTCCATATCACAAAACTGTTCGACCTTGAAAGCCATGCTGCTGTGATTTTTACTCGTGAATCTTTTCGTACGTTCCAATATGAACTTCTACGGAAGACATTGTACCAGATTGAGGCAGAGATTCAGTTATTATCAGATGAATGTCAACATTATATTTTGTCAAAGTACAAAGAAAAAAATAGGAAATTTGAAATTAGTTTTGATTCTCGTACGAAAACCCTAATTTACTCCTATAAAAAATTCGAGACCGTTGAACTTCTGTGTCGCCATCAACTTCACATTTTGAAGCACTTGGATTACACATATTTGCCCGGGACTTTGATTCAAAGTAGGTGGACTAATGATGTGAAGGCTTCTGCACCCAGTTATGTTGACTTGAATGTGTCTCCAGAAGTGATGCAAATAGCACGGTTCGTTGCTCTACATTCAACGTCAAGAAGAATTAGAATAAATGAGATGAAAAGACTAATAGAAGAATTAGAAAACTCATTTGGTTTGAATGATTCAGTCAACCAGAGCATTGTAGTAAACAACGTTCGTGACCCTCAACGAAAACAACGCAAGCGAAAAGAAGTACCGAAGAACAAGGTCGAGAAGATAATTAGGCGATGTGGGTACTGCAACGGTGAGGGACATAACAAACTAACATGCCCTCAAGTCAAGCTCAGTTTGAGTATAATGTAAATTATACAAAATTAACCCTATATTGACAAAATTTACTCTCTTAGTCTATTTTTATTGTGGATTACGAGACCGCTTAATATTTCATCCGCATCATCAAATAAATGCTAAACAATCTGTAGAGTATAGTATTCCGCAATCATGGCCGGAATTAGTTTTGTAACTGAGATTATCCAGGTTAATAATGTTGACAGCATAGCCAATAAAACCTAGGGTTTTTCAACAAAGTGTCGATACATGTTGTATACCTATTCTCTCATAAAACCAGTATATTTATATTGGTTACATTTTAAATTTACCTATTACATTATAATTATGAGTTTCGATATCTTTGGGATTGACACTTTTTGGAAATGTATTGACACTTTATGCGTTCACCCTTTTTGGCATCCATTATAGACAAAAATTATCGAAACAATATTAATAAGTGTCGATACATATTATAGACCTATTCTCTCATAAAACTGGTATATGTATACCGGTTATATTAGAAAATTACCTATTACATTATAATTATGGGTTTCGATGTTTTTGGGATCGACACTTTTAATAAATGTATCGACAATTTATGCGTGCAACCCTTTTGGATCGACACTCTCTGAAAATGTATCGACACTTTGTAGGTTCCCCCTTTTTGGCATCTATTCTGGACAAAAAGTATCGACACAATACTAATAGGTTCCCCCTTTGTGACCATATATACAAATGTATTAAATATCAGTTTAGCAATGTTTGGAGCCATTTTGGATTTGGATTTATACTTTGCTATCCACCAATAATCGCTGTCTCAAAGCGTTGAATGTTTTACCCCACTAGGCCGGATATACCATGTGAGCATTTTTGGAAACACTCTCGACTCTACATCTAGGTGAATTGGACTATTTCTAGAAACTCGTTGTATTGTAGTATCTAAATAATTTTCATCTGAATCCCCTTTATTCTCGACACCTAGACCCTCCGCAATAGTTTCCGGAGATATATATATTTCCTTCCCCATGACATGGGTATTAATTCCTATTATATTAGTCTTATTAGGCTCGTGCTTTAAGGAAGCATTGTTGTAGAAGACTCTAACTAGGTTGGGGTAATATTTTGGTTCTACACCAAAGAATTCAAGTCAACCCCAATATGTAAATGTGGATTTAAAACTAAATGCATATTTATCATCAAACAAGAAACCCATGTCAATGACACGTTCGGGATGAATCTTCCTTACTTTAAAACTCGCCTGCCATCTTTGTTTCTCCATATCAGATCTAAAGTTCAGAGTTTCGAAGGACCTGATTTTCTCAGAAGAATCATTTATTTGAGAAGGAGGTTGTGGTTGAGAAGAACTAGGTTGAGAAGAGCTTTGAGAAAGACCGCGCTTCTGACGCTGACGTTTTGGAGCCATTTTGGGTGTGGATGCTATTACAATGGAACACAAACACATTCAGGAAAAAAACTCCAATATACAAATCAATCAAACCCATAAAATATCGATAAATTTACCTGAATATCTGATCGTCACTGTTATGATAACGCTAGTATTCGTCGGAGATGAAGAGTTCAGAAGCCTTTAGGTTTAGGGTTTGTCTATCGATTTTGAAGTTTGTATCGAATAAATAATGAAGGGGAAAAATACGCGATATTTAAATTAGTATCGACGCAAAATTAAAAACGTGTCGATACATGTTGTAGACCTATTCTCTCATAAAACCAGTATATTTATACCGGTTACATTGAAAATTTACCTATTATATTATAATTATGGGTTTCGATGTTTTTGGGATCGACACTTTTTGAAAATGTATCGACACTTTATGCGTTCACCCTTTTTGGCATCCATTCTGGACCAAAAGTATCGACACAAAATTAAAAAAGTGTCGATACATGTTGTAGACCTAATCTCTCATAAAATCGGTATATTTATACCGGTTACATTGTAAATTTACCTATTACATTATAATTATGGGTTTCGATGTTTCTAGGATCTACACTTTTTGAAAATGTATCGACACTTTATGCGTTCACCCTTTTTGGCATCCATTCTGGACCAAAAGTATCGACACAAAATTAAAAAAGTGTCGATACATGTTGTAGACCTATTCTCTCATAAAATCGGTGTATTTATACCGGTTACATTGTAAATTTACTTATTACATTATAATTATGGGTTTCGATGTTTCTAGGATCGACACTTTTTGAAAATGTATTGACACTTTATGCGTTCACCCTTTTTGGCATCCATTCTGGACCAAAAGTATCGACACAAAATTAAAAAAGTGTCGATACATATTGTAGACCTATTCTCTCATAAAACCGGTATATTTATACCAGTTACATTAAAAATTTACCTATTACATTATACTTATGGATGCATATGTTTCTGGGATCGATAAATTTTACCTATTACATTACACATATACTGACTTATTTTTTGGAAACTTAACGTTTGGGAATCATACTGGACAAAATGTTGGAAACAAATCAGTGTTTATTAATTTTTCAGTAAAAAGTTTATTTTTACCTACATTGTCAATTTACCTTTTACAGCAATCTCCATATATCGTACGTATCAACATGACTCTTAATGTGTATAAGAAAATGTACAACAACATACTGCTAACTTTTCTCATCTCATACATAATTACATTCACATACAAAATTATAAATCTTATAAAAAATTAACCCTACATTTACATCATTGCATCCTTTTGTTATTGTAGTGTCTTATGGCAGCTTTTGTTATCTCATGTCTTCGTTGATTTTGATTGTGGCTTACGAGATCGTTTAATGTTCGCGATCGATCCCACTCTCCAACAACCTATATTCAAATTGTCAGAACGTTAAGTATTGTAAACCACAACATTCAATCTACGACTTTTAACAATTTTACCACAAACGAATTTTTAATTCCACTTACAAAATCACCAGTTGCCCCTGTAGAACCGATCGATTCTATCCACATCATCACATACATGCCGCAATCATATCTATTACAAAATTTGAAAGCCACACATATCAATTATGAATCCTGCATAAATTAAGCTTTTTATTTATGATAACATCTCATACACATTCAATTGCTTATTCTTCTTATGCTCCACAAATTTGAAATTTTTCAAGGGAAACTTTCCTAGAGATCCACAGTATTCAACCCAAATGTGTTTCTTATTATAAAAATCTAATATTTTAATCTGCATTAAAAAAAGAAGAAGTTATGATCCAAAAAAAGTATGCATTATAATTTACATAATGTCCTTTCATACATACATACATACATACCAATCTCTTAGCATCCTTCACTCTCTATTTAGCTGCTTCAGATGTAAATATACTATCATATATTGTTGCAACACGATCTACCATATCAACACCAACAGATACCAATGTGAATTATGGTAGTTTACTGTGATCATGATCTGCAACAAATTTCACACCCAATTTGACAAAATTCAACATTCTATATCCGAAAACATCATTTGCAATTGGTATGGTGTCTTACCTTCTCACATTCGGTGAATTTCACATAGTTATCCAATATGGGACCCCAAAAGGTAGCAATACTCTCAACACTTTCTTTGTTGTTGGCATCCAACGCCTGTTGCTGCAATTATGAAACAAACATTATTAATTTACCGTCTATAACACTACTTTTCAACATTTATTAATTTAACTCACCGCTAAGAGGTATGAAGGTAGCCAATCCTCCGGAGTGACTTTTGAGAATCGTAGCATACTGTCCAGGCGAGCAAATCAATAACCTAACAAAATTAATTACACAATTAGAACATATTCAATAAGTTTTAACATTTTCTACTTTCTACTTACCACATCGCCAACTCATTCCGTAGGCTTCAACGTTGCAACGTCTTATACACTAGCGAATTAATTTCCCAATGAGATTACAGAATATCTGTATGAATCATTAGGATTAATATGTTGTCATGAAATATTTAAATATCACTCACAAAGCAATATATTTCACTTACCCCGATTTTAACTCATTATTCCATAAATAATCACAAATTGCAGCTTCAATGTCATCAATTCCGCTTGGAATATCCGCTTTTTCAACCTACAATTTTGCATACAAATTTTTGTCACAACAACATGATAAAGATCAAATTAAGTTTTCTTTTATTCAACTTACCTTTTGCTTCTTCTTCTGGGGTGCAGGACATTCCGAATCCAAATCTGCTGCTATAACACTCTCCGGTGTATAAATGACATCGACTTTCTTCCTCTTCATTTCTTCCATCTTTTCTTCTTTCTCCTCCCTCTTTTCTTCTTCATATTTTTTCAGTTCATTGTATTTTTGCTATACATAGCTCTTCATCTCTTTTATTTTACCCTTCAATTGATCTTCTTCATCCAAGTATTGATCAACCACCCCCTTCACCCCCGTAAGTTTACTCCTCAATTCCACAACCTCCTTCACCACACCATCAAATTTTTCACCCGTCACCATCTTAAGATCACCCCTTAACACCTCAATTTCTTTCACCACTTCACTCCTCAACACCTCTACTTCTTTCACCACTCCATCTATTTTTCCTTCCACTTCCCCCTTATGCCTCTCAAGTGTATCTTCGACTCTCTCAAGTTTCTCTTCGACTCTTCATTGTCTATGAATGATATCAATTTGGATTTTTTTTATATCAGCCAATTCAGACATCAAAATGTCGAAGTTACTCTGTTTAAAATGTCGAAGTTACTCTGTTTTCCCTCACCGTCATCCCCCAATACAACCATCTCTTCTTTCTTTTACTCTACCTCCACTGCCTCCTCCACCTCCTTGCCAATAACCTTCAAAATTAAATTACAATATTAAGACATTGATTATATTCTTAATATTATTTAATTACATTTATTACCCTTTCGTGCTTCCTCGATCTATCTAACTTCAACTTCGCCATCACTCTAACCACCTCCTCCTTCCCCCATGCACGGATGCGTGCCACTCCGGTTCTTTCATAAGCCGGCACTGCCTCACAGCCCGACCAAAAATCGAACAGTGAAACCTGCATTTATAATAAAATTTATAATTTTATATAATAACTATACTATCATTTTATATAAAAACACAAAAAAGTTCTTCAAGTCATTTACCTCTAAGATTGCTATGCACCTTTTGAGGTATCTCTGGTTGCCCTTTTTAAAGGTGATTATTGATTCAATCAATCTCGAATGGACATATTCAGACCAATTGAATTCACCCTTCAAGCCTTCATCGCAAATGAGCTTAATATAGTCCTTGTTCGTTGACGTATCACCCGTTGGACAAAGAAAGATACCGACAAGGTACAATAGAACTCTGGCCTTCAGCTCATCCCCCCGTAAGATCCACTTTTTATTTCTCTCTTCAAGTTCAGCATATGTCACTTTCTGCTTCAAACATATTTGGAGGCAAGTGCTTTCCAGTTCTTACTCTTACAGACTTCTACAACATTTTTGCCTTCATTTTCTACCCCTAATACGGCTACAGTACATGGGATCCCGAGAGGAAATGAAAAATCACCATACTTATCAATACATTGTTTGACATCAAATTGCGCCATCAAGGATCGACACAATTCCCTCCGAATAGGTCGATCCCTTACTCCTACCAACGATCCAAACCATATTTCTCCCAGCACATTCAACCGACTCTTCTCCTTAAGGTGTTTAACTAATGAATTCACCCTTTTAATGTTGCACCTTGTCGACACTTCCTACATTTTTTAACAATATATAATGTTATAGTTCTTATATATTTAGTATTAACGTATTTACAAGTTTAATGAATACCTTATTTTCATGTGCTTTCCTCCGTTCTTTGTATTCTTTACTATCATTCCTTGACTGTGTGATGTAAGGTTCCTTTTCAGCATCACTCATCGAATTCCATTTGGACCTCACATCTTTTGT